ATACTCGTTTTCCTGGCACTATAGTGCCCTGAGGGTGCCCCCACCCTCAGGGTCCCACTCCCGCCCGGCTCTGGGAAGAGGAAGGGGTTAAAACTTACCTTTATTCCAGGGCCGGTGCAGGGAGCGCTCCTCTCAGCCTCCTCTCCTCCCCTTTGGCTAAATGCGCACGTGCGTCAGAAGCTGCGCGCGCATTCAGCCGGTCTCATAGGAAAGCATTTATAATATTCCTATGGATGCTTGCGTCTTCTCACTGTGATTTTCACAGTGAGAAGCACGCAAGCGCCTCTAGCGGCTGTCAATGAGACAGCCACTAGAGGCTTTGGAGGCTGGATTAACCCATTTATAAACATATCAGTTTCTCTGAAACTGCTATGTTTATAAAAAAAAAGGGGTTAATCCTAGAGGGACCTGGCACCCAGACCACTTCATTAAGCTGAAGTGGTCTGGGTTCCTAGAGTGGTCCTTTAACTGAACTCTAGTATAAGCTCTGTTCAGTTTAGAAAGTAGTCTCCAAAAATACTGTATTAGTTAAACCCTGATGTATATATATTGTTTAGCTAGATTGTGGTGTAAATATTGTCTAGCTGGTTTATGATGTGTATGTCTTGCAAAATGTTGATGTCTATGCTGTTTAGCAGACTTTTGAAGTGTAGATAGTGTTTAATTATGCATGACACCATAACCACTGATATGAATAACAGCTGACACCATAACCATTGACACCATATCCACCGACTGATACGGGGTTGTAGTAATATTAGATGATTGGCTGGTTTAGATGTTGATTAACTGTATAAATAATTGTACAGCTTTGGGTGGGTTTCGACTTTGTTCTGTATGTGAGACGTTATTAATATTGTGAAATGTGAGGATCCTGTGCGTGTGTACGGGTGTGTTCTGACCTGGTAACCGCACCACGTGGTGTTATTGATAAGGAGATTTGTATGTCAATTGTAACTGTTTGTATATTTGTATTGCTTTGAATAAGTCTCTCTGTTGAAATCATGGGTGCGTCTGATTCAAGATTGTTGATCCTTTGTCTTGCATGTTAAATAACTTTTCTAAGGGATATGCTGTTTGTGATTACGGTGTAATGCTGTCCCCAAAAAGGTTAAATACTCTGTGTAACAGAGAATGGCCTGTTCTGGTAGCCAAATGGCCTCCTCGTGGCGGTCTTGATCCAGATCTAGTGCAGCAAGTCTATACAGTCATAACTAATAGGCCGGGACTTTATGATCAGTTTCCGTTATAGATAGTTTTAAACAGATTGTTGAAAAACTGCCTAAATGGATCAAGCTGTGCCACACAAACAATGCAGCCTCGTGGTTGCCAGCACTCCCCTGTCCACTACAGCATCAACTCCACCTATGTTGGACACCCCTCTGATCTCCCCTTACCAATCCCCTACTCTTCCTCCCAAGCTAGAACTGGTGTAACTGGTGTTTCCACTTCCCCTGCCCCATTGTCTCCACCTACACACTCACCCACCTCAGATACCAGCTCATCTGTCCTGGACACACCTATTCCTGTGCCTACCCCCACTGATTCTTTGCACCCTGAACTGATGCCCTTTATGGTAGGAGTGTATTTTAGCGTATTTTATTATTGTTCAATTTTATTATTAAAGGACCATCAGCTCAATGAAGTGGTCTGGGTGCCAGGTCCCTCTAGTTTTATCCCTGCAGCTGTACACATAGCAGTTTCAGAGAAACTGCTATGTTTACTTTGATGTTAATCCAGCCTCTTGTGACTGTCTCACAGACAGCCGCTAGAGGCGCTTCCACGTTTCTCACTGTGATTTTCATAGTGAGAAGATGCCAGCATCCATAAGAGAAAGGTATGGCGTTTGAGAAAGGTAAGAGTTTGACCCCTTCCTCCCCCTAGATTCCGGCAAGAGTGGGACCCTGAAGGTGGGGGGGACCTAAAGACCCTATAGTGCCAGGAAAACACATTTGTTTTCCTGGCACTATAGTGGTCCTTTAACAGTCAAAATTGTGAGGATAATTCTTAATAATAGTAACTGAGTCCATTAAACTAGATAATTCTCAGGTATGAGATAGCACCATAACCACTGACAGCACTATAACTACTTAGTCCTGTGTGCCTTCGGTAACAGTGAGTCTAGAATACAACTGGACAAAATGGTCAATGGTATAAAATGCTGGAATACACTTATACCTTTTTTTTTTGTTACCAGACGGGCCCCTCCCAGCCTTGTCAGAGATATCCCCCTTACTAAATTACAAACTGAGATGATTACCTTATCTTCCACTACCCACCTGACGACCCCCAACTGGAACTTGTTAGACCACAATATTCTACAAATGTCCGTAGTCCGGTTTTAACATTGCAACGGATCACCTGGCACGCCAAACTGTGCATTTACAGCCTTCTCCGACTATGTCACCTCCACCTAAAGTACTTCCACCTAAAGTATATAAGGCACCTCCTATCTCCCTATCTCCTCCTCCACATTTTGATGGTAATATTCAAGAATAACGAGGATTTTTAAATCAAATTCATTACCACTTTGAGGCCTCACCGGGATGTTTTCCCTCAGATAGAGCTAAAATTGCTTACCTAATGAACCAACTAAGAGGTAAAGCCTTAGCTTGGGCCAATCCTTTATGGGAGAGTAATAGGAGTATTGTATTTAATTACGTGGAATTCAGATTAACATTTGAACCATTAGGCAGGGAGGATGATGCTTCCACTGCTCTAATGCATATCAAACAAGGGAACCAGTCTATCTTGGATTATGCCATAGAATTTCGCACCTTGGCTTCTGAGGTAGACTGGACTAATAGCGGGTTAATCTCAGTATTTAAAGGATTATCCGAGACTATTTGGGGCAAAATTGCTGCCAAAGACCTACCTAAAAGATTAAATAAGTTTATCACATTTGTCATGCAGATTGATAACAGACTTAGAACCAGAGAAACTACCAGAAATAGAACCAGACGTTTGACTGTCATTGGGACCTTGTTTCTCCAGACCTGTTGTTCTTGACTTCCCTTTACTGTCCGGACCCGAACCTATGCAGTTGGGTGTCACTAGACTGTCAGAGGCAGAAAGCCAATATAGGGGAAAAGAGGGTCTTTGTCTATACTGTGGTAGAAAAGGACATATGAGGAGTGCGTGTCCCATACATCCGGAAAACTTCCATACCTAAGAATCTTAAGGGGACAGGTCTTAGGTGTGTTTGATACGTCCTCTGGTAATAACGAAAATAGGTTTCTCCTTGATGTTATGGTCCTGTGTAAGAAAAATAACTTCCATGCAAAGCCCTGATGGACTCAGCTGCGGCAGGAAACTTCATTGACATACATTTTGTTAAAAAACAGTTAACACCTATCAAGGAAAGATCACCTGAGGCTATTGATGGGAGACCTTTCTTGATTACCCACAAAACCTTGCCTATTAACATTTCCATTGGAGCTTTACACAAGGAAGAGCTACCATTCCAGATAATTGCTTCTCCTTCTTGTCCCATCATATTAGGATTTCCTTGGCTCATTAAGCACAATCCTCATATTGCCTCTGCAAAGGGAGAAATACAGGAGTGGGATAAAGACTGTACAGAGAGATGTGTTTTACCCATTACCAAAAGAGTGGGCATTGTTACTGTAACAAATGCCCTATTCATGGATTACAATATTATTACTGGTTTGCACTTTTTGCTACAATATCCTGCACCTATACCCCATACAAATGTTTAAACAAATTATAATTTGTTAATTTACTGAACAGTTTGTCGAACATTAGACCACCCAAGCCAGTTGTGTACTGCAAATTGACTAATTTGACTCCATGCCAAACCGTAACCCTAACGTTCTAAGTGGTTCACTGGGTGGGCGTCGATTCGTATGCACGAACACGTGGCGGCGGCCATCTTGTTTTGTGAAACGCGTCCAGTGGGATATGGTCATTGAGTGTCTGGAACTATTTTCGGACACTCGATCTCCCGAACACTGCTGAGACTTCCAGGACCACTTAGATTTGTTATAATTCTAAAATTAGACTATGTGTAAAGGAGTCATTATCAGACTGGAGCAATTAATATGGAGTCCAAGAGAAATGGGATAATTTGAAAGTTGCACCGCTGAAGGCAACAGAAAATTGCTTTAGGCTTGTCAGTAAAAGCAAAAAATTCAAGAAACCACTGTGGTACTCCGCAGATGTGGCTAAAATAGTAAAAGACGAAAAAGTTAGCATTTAGAAATTATAAAAAAAAAAACAGAGTGAGAAATACAGAATGATCTATAAGATTAGGCAGAAAGAGGCTAAGCAAGTTATAAGAGCTTCCAAATCACACACAGAAGAGAAAATAGCACAGTCAGTAAAATAAGGGGACAAAACATTTTTTAGATACTTAAACGAGAAAAGGAAAGTAAAACATGCATTAGTTAGATTAAGAAGGAAGGTATGTAGAAGAGGATAAAGGTCTAGCTGACTGCCTCAATGAATATTTTTGTTCAGTACTTACAGATGAAAATGAAGGAAAGGGACCCCACTTAGGAAAATGGACAAATGAGTCCTTTATTACATATGAGATTACAGAGGAAGAGGTTCTATTTCAACGGTCAAAAGTAAAGACAAATATGTCAATGGGGGGGGCGGAGTCTGACTGGCAAACGGACAAGACGCATCCAGCATGAGCTCCTGTCGTACAGTCCATACTCTGCCGATATCTGGGGGTACAGTGCTGTGAGGTACCCACAACACAGCCCATCAGACTGAGGCAGCAGACACGAACCCACCAACTCCACACTCGACAACCGACCCGTAACCGCAGAGACAGAGTGGGGCCTACCGGGGGAAGGACGGCCGCCTTCCCGCCTGATGCTGAAAGTCCAAGGCAAGCAGGGAACAGCTTCCCCCCCCCCCCATGGACCGGTGCGGGATATCCAGGTCCCCGCCTGGCGGAGTGCCCCGAAACCCCACACCACACGTCAAGACCTGTAACCTCCCTAAGCAATGTGGGACCTGAGGCCTCCAAAATGGCGGACCTATGCGACCCGACCAACCAAGACAAGCGACCACATCAAATGGCCACATCAGACACAAGGGGACATGCCGGAGACTCCATAGCAGCAATCTTTGATCGTTTTTGGGCCAAGCTGATGGAGCACTTACAGTCAATGGCACCTCGCCACAAACCGTCCCAATGGAACAGGGCCGATGGTGAGCGGAGGTCTGGGAACCCACTTCAGGGCATAACTAAATCCCGCACCACAGCCACCCACACCAAGGACCCTCCCGGGCTGAGAGCAGCAAGGGGTAAACCCCAGAGGTGCTGGCCACACAGGTGGAGAGCAGCAAAACGACACTCTAACAAGGCTACTACAACTCACCACTCCACCTCGAAAGGGAAGACCCAGGACCACGATGGCACCCAGGTCAGTGGCAGGAGAGCACCAGCTCTTGCACAGCTCCGGGCAGAAGGGGAGACGCGACTCTCCCCGACTGAGATGGAGCCAAGATTGGAATGCGGAGGCCCCATGCGGTCATCAAGGACACAGAAAAGAGGCTAAGACCCTGATACAAACTGAGGGAGGGCACAACCACACACACCGTAGCCACAAGATCACCTACCCTCACGGACTGTGCCCGCAGAAAAGCCCTGCTCTTCTGTCCCAGGTATGCAGACAAGGCCTTCAGAACGGGCATTGGCTGAAGCACAGTCTGGACTGATTTCAAAGCAAGGCCCACAGTCAGCAAGGACCACAGCTCAGTACTCAGGCAACCCAGTTATACTTTCCATGATGAACATTGTGTACATATAGACTATTGAATTTAGCAATTCAGCTGATCAATATACTACCGTTACAATGTATGTTCAGTGTACCTTCACTTGCTAGCCTGTTGTATCATTACTGCGAACTGACATAGGTCTTTGCACTCTTAAGGCCCTCAAAATTGTTCGGGATAAAATCAGCCCGGGCCCTTTGATGGATGTTTGCCAACTCTATTTATCAGAGCTCTGGAAATTGGAAATGAAAAGCAGAGACGTGTTCAATATCCAAGTTAACTCATTTATTGACCAACAGTTATATTAATACACTTTTTTCATAGCAGGATGGGAGGGGGGAATGAGCATATGGGGCGTGACAATGACATAGATTGTTGTGCACAAGTTATAAGCAGCTGTTTCGTATATTTGATAAAAAACAGATATTTACAAATACCAAAATCTTGGACAATTAACAAGAACATTTCACAATCATTATGGTCATTCTCATAAATTATATTAGATAAATTCTTCCCAGAATCGAAGATACAATTCCAAGTTTATTCCTAGTTCAAATTAACCCTTATATGAACATCTAGGATAGATAGCAAAATGGATATTCGTATCTACAAAAATTACACAGCACTCAGTGATCATACTTCTAAACAGTTTGGAAATGAATAGCAGAGACGTGTTCAATAACCAATTCAAATTCCTTTATTACGCAAGTTATATTTACACCCCATTTTCATAGCAGGATGGGAGGGGGAAAAATGAGCATATGGGCGTGACAATGATGACAATGATGACAATGACATTGTTTTTCACAAGTTATGAGCAGCTGTTTCTCATTATAATTCTACGTTAAATAACACATGCATATTTGATCAAAAACAGATGTTTACAAATACCAAAATCTTGGACAATTAAAAAGAACATTTCGAAATCAGTACTTTTCCCGTACAATACCAAATTTATTCTTGGTTTAAATTAACCCTTATATGAACAGCTAGGATAGATAGTGAGATGGATATTCGTATCTACAATTGTTGTTAACAGGAGTAGTCCCAGAAGATTGGAAGTTAGCGAATGTTGTGCCCATTCACAAGAAAGGTAGTAGGGAGTAGTCGGGCAACTAAAGCCCAGTAAGCCTTACTTCAGTAGTGGGGAAAGTAATGGAAACCATGTTAAAGGATAGGATTGTTCAACATCTAAAAACACATGGATTTCAAGATCAGAGACAACATGGCTTTACTTCAGGGAGATCATGCCAAACTAATCTTATTGATTTTTTTTTGATTGAGTAACTAAAATAATAGACCAGGGTGGTGCAGTAGATATTGCTTACCTAGATTTCAGTAAGGCTTTTGACACTGTTGCACATAGAAGGCTTATCAATAAATTGCAATCTTTAAAGTAACACTATAGTCACCTAAATTACTGTAACGGACCGTTTTGCACACAAGGGGTAAAAACCGTTTAGGCGATCGGCCCCCTTTCCAGAGATACAGGCACAGCTACTGCAGAACACCAGACTCCCGAACTGGATACAAAATAGCACTCCAACTCCCGAACTGGAACCTCCCAAATAGCTGCTAGCAGACGAACAGGAAAAGCAGACAATCAGCTTACACTCCTGGCAATCAGTCTCTAACAGCATACAGTGAATCCCCCCAAGAACGAGACAAGGCTCCGTGTTGAGGGTCAAGCAGTGGTCTGAGGTGCTGGCACACCCAGCCTGGTTTTTATTACAGTCTTGCAAATACAGGACCGCCCACAGGGAGGTATAAAACAACCAATCACATCACAGTTACATCCCACATATTCCCTCCCCTTATCCTGAGAGGAAACTCAATTACACATACAGTTAAAACATACTTTCTACCCAACTTTCATAACTCTAAAACCATACATCACATTCACATAAAATTACATATTCACAATCAATCCATTCAGGGGAACAACATATTAAAAATGGCATGAATCAGACCAGGGGTTCAAAAGTTAGTAAAAAGTCCTTTGTGACTAAATGAAGCATGGCTTTCTGGCCCAAACCAGTTTCAGAGTCTTCTATCCTGGAGAGTAATTCAATTATCTCCCAGGACAGACACAAGACTCCATTAAGCACATGGTTGCAAAAAGACACAAAATACTTTAAAATACATAAAGTCACATTTATTACATAAAACACAGACATGTAACATATCCCCAGATAGCTCAGGTCCGAGCGCACATTATTAAGCGAATGGCGCTCAGACCACACGAATACAGTTTAATCGCCATGGAGCCAAAGTCTTTACAGTCAGTTTCATACGAATGGGCTCCATGGGATTCCTATCTGGGGTATAACACATTCAAACAAATCTACCGAACCCCAGGCAGAAAAGCACGAATGAAGCTTTTCTGCAGGTAAAAAAGATGTCTTTTAACAGGGGGCCATAGTCCAAAGGCAGCAGGCGAGCAACCAGGCTTCTCCAATGCAATGTGGCGAGATTGGTCTCGTCACAATTACATTAGCTAAATAAAGCAGTTTTAGTGTATAGATCATTCCCATGAAATTTCACTGCTCAATTCACTGTCATTTAGGAGTTAAATCACTTTGTTTCTGTTTATGCAGCCCTAGCCACACCTCCCCTGGCTATGATTGACAGAGCCTGCATGAAAAAAAACTGGTTTCACTTTCAAACAGATGTAATTTACCTTAAATAATTGTATCTCAATCTCTAAATTGAACTTTAATCACATACAGGAGGCTCTTGCAGGGTCTAGCAAGATATTAACATAGCAGGGGATAAGAAAATATAAATTAAACAGAACTTGCAATAAAGCCTAAATAGGGCTCGCTTTACAGGAAGTATTTATGGAGGGCTGTGCAAGTCACATGCAGGGAGGTGTGACTAGGGTTCATAAAAAAGAGATTTAACTCCTAAATGGCAGAGGATTGAGCAGTGAGGCTGCAGGGGCATGTTCTATACACCAAAACTGCTTCATTAAGCTAAAGTTGTTCAGGTGACTATAGTGTCCCTTTAAGTTTGGATTCCAATGTTGTTGATTGGGTAAGACAGTGGCTGAGTGACAGGCAACTGAGGGTTGTAGTCAATGGTGTATATTCAAAGCTTGGGCTTGTCTCCAGTGGGGTCTTTAGGGATCTGTACTTGGACCCATTCTCTTTAAAAAAATGTATTAGTGATATTGCAGAAGGTCTTGATGGTAAGGTATGTATTTTTGCTGATGATACTAAGATATGTAACAGGGTTGATGTTCCAGGAAGGATAAGCCAAATGGCAAATGATTTAGGTAACCTAGAAAAATGGTCAGAGTTGTGGCAACTGATATTTAATATGGAAAAGTCCAAGATAATGCATCTTGGACGTAAAAACCCAAGGGCAGAGTACAGAATATTTGATAGAGTCCTAACCGCAACAGCTGAGGAAAGGGATTTAAGGGTGATTATTTCTGATGACTTAAAGGTAGGCAGACAATATAATGGAGCAGCAGGAAATGCTAGCAGAATACTTGGTTGTATAGGGAGAGATATTAGCAGTAGAAAGAGGGAAGTGCTGATGCCATTGTACAGAACACTGGTGAGACCTCACTTAGAGTATTGTACGCAATACTGGAGACCGTATCGTCAGAAGGGTATTGATACTTTAGAAAGAGTTCAGAGAAAGGCTACTAAACTGGTTCATGGATTGCGGGATTAAACTTACCAGGAAAGATTAAAGGATCTTAACATGTATAGCTTGGAGGAAAGACGAGACGGGGGGATATGATAGAAACATTTAAATATATAAAGGGAATCAACACAGTAAATGAGGAGACCATATTTAAAAGAAGAAAAACTACCACAACAAAAGGGCATAGTCTTAAATTAGAGGGGCAAAGGTTTAAAAATATCAGGAAGTATTACTTTACTGAGAGGGTAGTGGATGCATGGAATAGCCTTCCAGCTGAAGTGGTAGAGGTTAACACAGTAAAGGAGTTTAAGTGGGATAGGCATAAGGCTATCCTAACTATAAGATAAGGCCAGGGACTAATGAAAGTATTTAGAAAACTGGGCAGACTAAATGGGCCAAATGGTTCTTATCTGCCATCACAGTCTATGTTTCATCCGAAGAAGGTAGCATTCGGTAGAAATTAAATACGAATGAAGTGGCACACGGCCATCGAACAAACAATTATGTGAACTGTTGTTCGACATTTTGTTAATGCACGAAAAAGACTGGCTGCACCAGCTGAACGCATGGAACTATTTTGAGAAGGAGCCTCGTGTGCGGCCGGACAGAAATGGGACTTCCATCTATCTCCCGAACCCTTGAACCAATTCATATTATGTTATCGATATGTTGTTACCCTAACTATGGACTATCTGAAAATGTATGTTTTATGGGGTTTGCATATGATTTTCAGGGGTTTCTGAATATGTGTAAAAAAATATATATTTTTTTGTTTGGAGATAATTGAGTTGATACAATAATTAACTTAATTGTCTCCTAAGCAGAGGGGAGATATTTTGTGTAATGAATGGGAGTGTTTTATTATGTGATTTTAAGTTTATTGACTGTTCACTGCATTTCCCTGTGCCCCACAATGTCCACTTGGGTAGTAACCTTACATAAAAGGCCAGCTTGGCCCATTAAAGCTTCACCATAGCCTTGTCTCGTGGTTGTAGGGAACCTGCTTCACAACTAATCACTAGCTCTTGTAAGAGCTCTACTACACCTTCAACTACTGGTTTGGCTGAGGAGAACATCTGGAGAATCTGTAGCACAGCTCCTCTCATGGGAAAAGGACGTCTCCAAC